CTGGGCTGCGTGGGGCGGGCTCATCACCATGGCCTCCTACAACAAGTTTCACAACAACTGCTACCGGTGAGTGCCTGACCATGGCCCACCGGTCCCCCTGCTGCCCCCTGGGCCTGCTGCCAGCCCTGACCCCTCTCCCCACAGGGACAGCATCATCATCAGCATCACCAACTGCGCCACCAGTGTCTACGCCGGCTTCGTCATCTTCTCCATCCTGGGCTTCATGGCCAACCACCTGGGTGTGGACATCTCCAAGGTGGCCGACCACGGCCCCGGCTTGGCCTTTGTCGCTTACCCCGAGGCCCTCACCTTGCTCCCCATCTCGCCTCTCTGGTCCATCCTCTTCTTCTTCATGCTCATCCTCCTGGGGCTAGGTACACAGGTAGGTCATGGTGGTGTGGCATGGTGGGGCCAGCATGCTGGGATAGGGTGGCATGGTGGGGCCAAGGTAGTAACAAGCTGTCCCCCTCTGCCCCATGTGCAGTTCTGCCTGCTGGAGACGCTGGTCACGGCCATCGTGGATGAGGTGGGCAATGAGTGGATCATCCGCAGAAAGACCTTCGTGACACTGGGGGTGGCTGTGGCGGGCTTCCTGCTGGGCATCCCACTCACCACGCAGGTAGGTGACCATGGGATTGTGGTGACAGGGTGCCATTGCCATGGCGACCTTGCCACGGCTGACAGAATCAGCCATGTCCACATTGTTGCCATGACCACCCTGGTGGTGGTGACACCTGGGGCCTGGTGTTGCCCTGCCAACACTGGCGATGGCATCCAGACTAAGCTGACCCTAGCATTGGGCGTTGCCATGCCGACCGCGGTGGTGGTATCCAGGCTGTGTGTTGCCATGCCAACTGTGGCAGCACGGCTGTGCCGTTGCCTTGCCAACGGCGACCATACCACCGGGGCAGCCGTGCCAAAGGGTCCTTCTCACAGGCGGGCATCTATTGGCTCCTGCTGATGGACAACTACGCTGCCAGCTTCTCCCTGGTCATCATCTCCTGTATCATGTGCGTTGCCATCATGTACATCTACGGTAGGTGCAACTGCCTACAGCCAATCAGCCGTCAGGGCTGCCCCAGCCAGCCAGTGGGGAAGGGGGTGTGCTAACTTCTGGCCAATCAAGCGGTTTCCTGCATGCTAACTGGCTGAGGTGCGAAAGCCACTGGCCAATCGGGGCAGCCGTGACCCGAGGATCCCTGTGGGTGCCACCACCCAGAGCCTGGAGCTGGTGCTGGGCAGGGGTGGGAGGGGGCTTGGGGTCCCACCGGGGCCCCAGCCCAGCCATGCTGGGGCTGACAGCCACTTGTCCTTGCAGGGCACCGCAACTACTTCAAGGACATTGAAATGATGCTGGGCTTCCCACCCCCGTTCTTCTTCCAGATCTGCTGGCGCTTCATCTCGCCCACCATCATCTTTGTGAGCATTGCGAGCGCGGGAGGAAGGGGCAAGGATCCCACCTGGATCCCCCACTCGCCCACCCTGGGGAGAAGGGTGCTGGGCTATGGGATGGGATGGGAATGGGGCAGAGCAGGGCGATCGGGGGGTGGCAGAGCAGGCTTGCTGCTCCCCCCCGGCTGATCCCGCCTGTCCCTCCCCAGTTCATCCTGGTCTTCACAGTGATCCAATACCGGCCTATCTCCTACAATGACTACGTCTACCCTACTTGGGCCATCAGCATCGGCTTCCTCATGGCACTCTCCTCCGTCATCTGCATCCCCATCTACGCCATCTACAAAGTGTGCTGCTCCGAGGGGGACACGCTGCTGGAGGTGGGTGGCCAGGGACTAGGACATTCCCCCCCCCCTCCTTGCTCCTCTCCCACCTGGGGCTGCCTGCAAGGCTGTCCCCCACCCCACTGGAGTTGTCGGCACCTTGCAGCGTGGGGCACCCCATCTCCAGGCACCCCTGGGAGCCGCTGGCATGCTGGGGGAGGCTGGGGCAGGGGAGCAGGGCGGGTGCTAACCCTGTCCCCAACCTCTCCCTCTCTCTAGCGCTTGAAAAATGCTACCAAGGCGAGCAAGGACTGGGGTCCGGCGTTGGTGGAGCACCGCAGCGGGCGCTACGCCCCGGCGTTCAGCCCCTCCACTGAGTCCCACCTGGAGGTGCAGCCCCTGCAGCCGGAGAAGGGCCGGAGCGAGGCAGTGGCTGGCCCCCCCCGGGCGGGGAGCC